GCTGGCTGAGCCCCACCAAGGTTCGGCTGATGAGGGCAGAGGGCGGGTGCTCGGTGGCGGAACTACACGTCGGTGCAACACCCACAAGCCCCCGGACGCGGAGGACTGGGGGCGGCCATGATGCCCCGCCTTCTCCCCGCCCCCTGGCTCGCGATGCCTCCGCTCATTGGCCCCTAAGAGTCCGTGACCCGGATGTTCATGCGGACGCCGGGAAGGCCTGTGACCCAAAGATGTCGCAAGCGCCGAGCGTTCAATGGTGCCCGCGAAGCTCCTGTCTCGTGGTGGGCTGGCCTGCGTGAGAGTCCGCTGGAAGCTGGCCCCGGCGTTGCCCCTGGGAGAGACCGGACCAGGTGGTGGGTGCGCCGGGGCTTCACCCACGTCTCTCCCTTAACCCTCCCGGCACCTCGTCCGGGTGAGTGCGGTGCGTATCCCCACGCCCCCGCGACGCGCGGACCTCCCACGCCCGGCCGCGGCGTCTGGAGCTGCCCAAATCCGGATTGGCGCCCTGCTCCTCTCCTGCTAGCCGCACGGGCCCTTCAAGTCACTGAAACCTCTGGGGCTCAGGCTCCTCGTTGCCAGAATAAAGGTGACAGTCTTGTGTATTTCGCAGGGATGGATTAAAAGTCTCACGCGTGAGACACAGAATGCCTAGCACAGGGCAGGGCACTTAGTGAGCAGTGAGTAAATGACATTATTCTTACAGCCGCAACCAATAAATGTCAGTGAGTGTCACCCAGGGCTTCGCAGGGGGGCCATTCACATCTGAGAGCGAGAGCCCCGGGGCTTCGTTTCCGTGGTGGAAACAGCTTTACCCCCTTAAAAGACAATATATGATAAGTAAGTGTCACGTTGTGGTAAGTGCATTGAGAGAAACAAATCAGAGACAATGAGAGAAGAAGGATTTTCAGTATCACGTGGACTCAGGTTTTCACCCCTTCCTAGAGACACTGACACCCTATTCCATTTAAGTAGCAGCACCCTAATCCTCCAGCATCTCTGGGGTAAATATTGAGACCACATTCCCCTTCTTGCCTGGAAAGAAGTTAGTTCCTTCCAGACCTCTCTGTTTCCTTCACTGCACCCCTTGTCGGTCTTCCCAGTTGGACTGTCGCTCCCAGGAGGTGGAGTCCAGTCCGTCTGGTTCACTCCATGAGCCCAGAGGCTAGCACAGTGCCTGGCATGATGCAGGATCTCGGTGAATATTTGCTGAATTACTGCTCCCCTACTGTAGGCTAGGTTAGACAGACACTGCTTATTAAAAATGCACATCCCTGGGTCTCAGCCCTGACCTACTGGGTCAACCTCTGGAAAGTAGAATCTGGAGATCTGAATTTCTGAAAAGTGTACCAGGGAATTCTTCTGCCTGCTAGATTGACTCTGTTGTTGTCAGGGCGGGGGGTGGGGGTGCTGTTTCTTGCCCACTAGATTTAAGAACCCCTCATTTAAAAAAAGACTTTGTATCCATGTCTTACTTCATCACTAGTTTCTAAAGTCTTTGAAGACAGAGGTCTGCTAACCTGCTTATAAGAAACTTGGCCAGAAACGGGCGGAAGGAGTGCACAGCAGTGGGGAAGTGGGGAAGAGGCAGAGGCAGGGCATCGGGAAGCAGTGCAGGACGAGGATACAGAGCAGTGATACAAGACAGGCACGACAGCCTCCAGGAAAGGGGAAAGGTGTGCAGGGCCAGGCCTCCGGGGGAGAGACTTCTGGGACTGGGCATGGATTCAAGAGGCAGAAGGAAAGCATGGGCTGCGAGCTGAGGAAGAATGGGGCTATACATTAGCTGTCGACCCAGGCAGGTCACATCCTCTTGTCACTTTTCTCCACTGTAAAATAATGGGATGAGATTGCTAAGGATTCTGCCAGTTCTACAAAAGATTTTTTTAAATTGGTTTATATTTCACACTAGGAAGTAATAGGGTCCTGGGTGTTGCAAGCTTTTGAGCGCATTTTGGAGCTCCACCTGCCAGGGGATCGCAATCAAGTTAGCTCCTACTTAGTGTTTGTGAGAGCTGGCTTGATAGACCTGCTGGCTGGGTTCAGCCATTTTTCTGCCACTGCTAAGCTGTGTGGCCTTTAGCAAGGCACGTACCTCTCTGAGTCAGTTTCCTCTTGTAAAGTGTGGGTAGTACTGGTACCTGCCTTATAGGATTGTTCTGAGGGGTCAGTGAGTTAATAGATGTAAAGCTGTGCCTTGCCCAGAGGGAGCACCCCCTGCAAGGATTAGCTGTCTCTATACCCACGTGCCATGCGCTTTCCATAAATGGTCTTATTTAACCATCGCAGGAAGGTGGGCTTTTTTAGAGGATGAAACTGAGGCCTAGAGAGAGTGAGTGACTTACCCTATATCCAGGTGGGACCCAAACACGGGAGAGGGTGACATGGCTCCCTCCCTCCCACCATCTGGCTCTTGGCCACCTCTGAGTAATGCCCACATATTCCAGGGACTGGGGAGAGGAGGCGAAGTGGATGATGGCTCAGAAGCCTTCTGAGCCTGGATTCCCCTCTTTGGGCAGTTTTAGAAGTGGGTGGGGTGTACATAACAGGCTGCAACCACCAGGTATCTGAGTGAGAGAAATTCAAAACAGTGCCCAGCTGTTACTAAGCAAGACACCGTGTGCCCCGGGCTCAGTGCCCTCACGCCCAGCTCTTGGGGCCCGGGAAACCTGCGTCTGGCTAAAATGAGACCCTTTGTGGGTCTCGCTGATCCCCAGCTCAGACTCAAAGGCTGATTTGGGTGTGAAAACTTGGACAGAGATTTCCAAAGAGACTGAGCAAATTTTAAGCACAAATCACACAACTGAGACACAGTCACAATTCATTCTGCTGGTTCCATGAACCTCATTTTTCTCATCTGTAAAATGAGGATAGCAGTTCTTAAGGCAAAATGGTATGGACTTCATGGGCCTGGCACACCGTAAACTGAGTAACCTAGCATTTCCTCCTTGTTCTCTTGAGTAAGCTTCCTCTAAAAGATAAGTCATGAGGTTGACCTGCAGGATGCAAGGAGAGCCCTGACACAAGTATTTGAGAGCCTGTTGTGTACAGGGTGACAGAGGACACCTCAGGAGCACAGGTTTACCCTCGAACACACCATCCCTGGCAGTCGCTGTGTACGTGAGCATTAAAGGCTCTGAGAAATCCTACAGTATGTATGCCTGTTTCTCTTTCTTTAATCCAGTATTTCCTGAATTTCTTCTGTTGTAAAGACTTTTTGGTCTTGGTTTTTAAGTTTTCTGTGGCTCTCAGTGGTGCTGTTCACCAGAATTTCTGGTGTTCCTCTTTTGGGCAAAGGGTAGAATTGCATTCCCACGCCCCCAGCCGTGTGACTCGCTTTGGTCAACAATTAGGGGCTGAAGGGAGAGGTGGCACTTCTGGATGGAAACCTTTGAGCACCATATTCTTCCCCACCCTGACCCCAACCCTCCAGAGGCTGGGACAGGTCTGCCGGACACGTCGTATGAGTGAGAAGTAAACCTTGTGGGGGTCGGGGAGTCTTTGGCAAGCACAGCATAAGCTGGCCTGTGCTAACTGATGGAGTCACCTGGTGACATCTGTGGGGACACCAGTGTTCCAGAACACGTGGTTTATGAAGTGCTGATCTGGCCCCCCAGATGGAGAAATGCAGTTTAGTGACTACACCGGTTCCCTTCGTAACATGAAAGCCCAAGTCTCAGAGGCCACAAGGAAGGGGTGCTGGGTCTTCATGGATCCCCACTCAGGTCACCCTGACTCTTAGTTTGAGGCACCCCATGGTGTGGCCTCCCCAGGGCTGTGGCCTGTCTCTTTATTCCTCTCCCTGAGGTGTGGGGCTCGCCTCCATCACCCGTCTCCCCAGCCCCTGACATCTGAGGAGCAAAGGTGGGCCAGTGAGAGGACAGAGCACCGGGCGCCTCCATGAGACAGAGGCCCAGGGTGTGCGGCAGGGTGACAAGGACCAGGTCCGAGCCGCTGGTGGTACTGTGGGAGAAATGTGCGGGAGGGTGTGGCCTGGGGAGGCAGGAGGACGGCAGCTTCTCTGTGCTGGCGGTGTGGGAGGGAATGACCAGGTCTGGGCCTGAGGCAGGTGCAGGCTGCCAGACCCTGCCAGGAAGTTGTTGCTGTGGCCCATGGCAGTGTGGGGTGCTGACCAGGGGCCAGTCTCCAGAGATCGTAAGTGGAGGTGGAGACAGCGGGATTGGGACCAGCTGGAGGAGAGGGTGCATCTTGGTTCCTCGGATTTTGTTGGACAGCCAGCCGGGGGTAGGTAGAGGGGTGAGTGGGCCCTCACCCAAGCCAGACCCAGAGTCCTCCAACTGTGTGTGCCAGGCCCCCACGAGTGGCTGTGCGCACTTGGCAGAGCAGGCACATCCGATCCTTGGGGAAGAGCCTGGCTGGAGTCGCAGAGTCCAGGGTCCTAGAGGAAGAGGGACCTGGGAAGGGGGGCGGTCTGGCCCTCAGTGTCCAGGACAGAGCATGTGGAGGCCACCTGGCCTGGCAGGGCCAACTAGGGCAGTGGGACTATAAACCTTGGTGGTGGGGGCTGGCAGGAGAGTTTAAAGGAGCTTGGCTGTGAGGGAAGGAAAGCAAAACTGTGGCTCCTTGCAAAGGATGCAGAGACAAGGGAAAGTGCTTTAAAAATCACATTTATTATGAATTATTTTCTGACGAAAGTAATACATAGAAATTTAACAGAAAATATAATCATGAATAATGGCATGATGGGAAGCGCTGTGTTTTGGCACAGATTCTTTCCGTCTCTGTTCTATAGGTGTGCACGCTTACACATTTTATTCGCTTAACAAGACTGGGCTCATGCTTTGCATCAAGTTTTGCTGTCTGTGTACCAAATAGACTGCTGCTCCCTGGCATTCAGTAGACTGCACGCTGAGCATTGCTGATAGCGGAGTATTCCAAAGATCAGGCCTTGGTCGGGGGGTGGGGATGGGGGGAGGACTTATGGGCCCAGCCAAAGAGGAGGAGATGGGGTAGCATTTAAGGCACAGGTGGGAGGAGAGCCTTGGCCATTTCTTTAGAAAGTACCAGACTTCCTTGTCTTCATGCACATTTTTTAAAAATCGTAAAACATATGCTCATTATAAGGTTGAATAATTGCAAAAAGTAGTAAGAAAATAAGTCCTGTGAAAGCCTATCAGCCGTTAAACATACTTCTTTCCTTGTAACGATCACAGAACCAGGGTACAGGGTCTGTCTAAAGGGAAATACACGGGCTATTGCGAAATACTGCTGAAGTGCGTTGTGTGTGTTTAGGCCTATGCTGTGGTTCTGACAACAAAGGCAGTTGGGAAACCTGAGAGTCTGGCGCCAGGGCAGGCATGAGGGTGTGTCACTGGGAGTCCAGGTGGGTGTCAGGCACGTGTGGCCTCCCCCACTCAGGCCAGCTCTTTGTTTTGTGGCCAAGTGGCTGGGCGAGCCCCCCGCTCACCACCCTCGCCTCACTTGGGGAGCAAGCACTACCACAACAGGAGGCCCCCGGAAACGCAAGGAGCCGGCCAGGAGCCCCCGAGCGGGGCTTCTCTGTGTGATGGCCCTGTATTTTCACAAGCACTCCCTGCCTTCTAGGTGTTCACGTAGAGTCTAGACCCAGAACCACCTTCCCCTCTAAAGGGGACGCCCTCGCAGTGGGGCGCTTTGCCTGAACCCGCCTGTTCTTCGGCTCCGGGACACCTCCACGGCGTGGGCGAGAGTCGCAGCCTTCTGGGCCAACATTTGGGATTTTGAGCTTATCACTGCTTATTTGCTTTCGGTTATTCTCGAATGCATAAATGAGAAAAACAGACACACACAGCTCACCTGCGGTCACTCTGTGCTGTGCTTGCCCACAGAGTGCCGCACCGGAGAGGAGGTGGGTCCCGCCTCCTGCTCGACTCCATTCAAGCTGTGGGGGCACAGACAACAGGGAGAAGGCCAGTTGAGGACCCGGGGGTACCATCTTCTGTGCTGGGTTTTTTTAAAGGCTTATTCCATTCACATCTCACTGATTCCCATAATACATAATTCAACAGATAAGAAGATTTCCTTCTATTTTATGTAAAACTCTTTATCACATATTTAGGTGTAAAAGGTGTCCTAGAATATAAATAAGTTCCTGTCTTTCAATGCCCCCTGGCCAGGGGTGTCCTTGGGAGGATGGCACCCCCCTTGCCCTGCACTGACTGCTTCCTATACAGAGAGATGGGATCACACTTTTCTCTTCCTTCCAACCCCCAAGATGCACAAAGGACAGCCCAGCCCCCAGCCACAAGGTCCCCCCAGCCCAAACTCTGGCCATTTAGGAACCTTCACCTGGACAGCTGAGCGGGCTGAAAGGCAAGTTGGTGGCGGACCCTCCATGCTGGTCTTCCTCATGCAGTTTCCCAACCGTTGGAGCCCACCTCCGATGCATACACATTGGGCTTAAGGAAGCCCTGGACCACCTCCTACACCCTACACCCAAAGTGGCATCCCACCTATTTGTGAAACAAATATATTGCTTTTGGTTTCAATAAATTCATCACAGAGGCCATTTTCTATATATCACAGAGGTCAACTTCGGCCTCTGCTGGACAGTCCACAGGGCGGGCGTCCGGGTCCTAGGAGGAGCACAGAGGCCAGGGGTGCCCCTCATGTTCTGATTTGTGGCAGTCAGGCTGTTGGTCCCTCGCTGGTATTTGGGATCTGAAACAGATGAATTCTAAGTCAGCCACTGACCTGCTGCCCTGAAGTCTTCAGTGTCAGGGAGGACGAATGGACACTGCCAGGGATGCCAAGCATACCGCCACATGCTTTGGGACCTGCAGGGTGGCCCAGCCCCAGACCACAACTCCCTCAGCCCCCAGGGCTGATGTCACCATCCCGGCCCTCCAAAACCTGTGGCCCTCCCAGCCACCTGGACACCTTGCACTGGCTATTCACGGGCACAGAGGAGCCCATCCGTTTCCTCCACTCAAACCAGCTCACCTGCCGGGGCGCCCTACTGCAGCCCGCACGGCCGTCCCCCAGGCCGCCGCCTCCTGCCCCACTCCCTGGAGGATGGGCAGGCACCAGGGCTCACAATCGACAGCTTTTGGCCTAGAGCCTCTGGACGCCTCTCAGTCCTAAAGCGTCTTGAGAGCAAGCCCTGCTCCTTGCTGGGCCAGCGCAGCTGCCCCCTCACGGGTGACCCCACCGCCTCCACATGGCCACTTCCCAGTGCACACTGGGTCGTTCCACAGCCTGCTTTAAACCCTTCCATGTCTGCTAACAGCACTAACAGCTGTGGCCTTGTCTCCCGAGTGCCCCCATGTGCCCGGGACTGTGCTAGGGGCTCCCCAAAGCCTCATGGACGCCCCGTGAGGAGAGGAGCACCCCCCCGAACGAACAGGGGAGGAGGCCGAGACCCACGATGTTCAGGGTAAGGTCCAGCCCTTGTGACTGGAACAAGGCTCTGCTTGCTGAGTTAGTTTTCAGAACCCCGAAAGTAGCAGCAGCATCCAGACCATGGGAAGCACACAGATTGCCGAGTTCCATCACGAGGGACTGTGGTTCAGCAAGTCTGAGGTTAGACGGGAATCTGCCTTAGCTGGCACCTCGCCCCCAAATGGGGCCCCGCCTCTCCATGCCCCACCCACTCCCTGTGCTGCCGGCATCCCCACCTACTTCCCCTAGGCAAACCAGTGCTCTCTGACGCTAGCTGAACTGCATCTTTAGGGACCTGCCCTTCCTCTGCTTCATCGTCCAGCTCTCTCTTCCGCCATCAAAACTGGGCTCAGTGGACACACCTCCCCGCCCCCTCCCCGGGCTTCACCGTGCCCTGTGCAGCTAAGTCTTGACCATCTTTCAGCAGATGCACTGGCACCTCTGATTGGCTCAGCTGTCCCTGGTAAGACAGTGTTCCCTGTGATACAAGATAAACTCCTTGCCACCTACTGGGGCCCAAAGACATTTCTAAAATGGCATGTGAGGCCTGAGCAGATAGGAGGGTGCCTGTGGGACACACACACCCATAGGCACGTTGTTTACCTGGAAGTGGGGAGCAGGTGCACCACCACTCGGGAGCAAACCCGGGACACCGCCCACTGCAGCCACTGGATGTCGTCAGGCACGTGTGGAAGCCACATCACCAGTCTGGGGGAATAAAACAGAGAGACAACACATCATGTGAGCACAGAGACGGGCCGAAGCAAA